CTCATAGATTCAGATACCAAAGGCTGAACAGACAAGGTATATTACACTTATTAACCGTGTAGAAAAATTAGTCCTCACAATTGGGAATATGGGCTAAAACACTTACGATACTGGTATTTTGATAATTATTACCGGGAATTACATTTACAGCTACACGTAATCTTCCAGGGAATTTCATTTGAAAGCACAATCAAGTAATCTGGTAATCTGGTAATCCTAGTTTCAGCATCATAGCAAACGGGTCACCCCATTGTTGCTCCGCTCCTGTGCCAACGAAAAACACTCGTAGCTCACAGTGTCACACCATGCACTCAACTCAGAAGCTGGGTGAAGTTTATTCATCGTCACGATCACCGGCTGTAAACTCCGGTGGAAAGTTTTGGTTGTTCATCCATTTTTTAAATTTAGTCTGGTTCCAGAACTCAGAATAATATATTCGGGAAACAAGTTCATACGTTTGTATGTACATATACTTTTTTTTCTTATTATCTGCAATGTTTACTTGAAAGTTCATGCAATAACAGAATATACGTGGAGAAGCGCAATGGTTGGAATGAGGCATATAGACCTGGTATGTCTTCGGCATAACAACAAGGCTAGAATTAATAGGTTAAGGGAAGCAACATCTGCTTCTGCAGAGCTCTAGAAGCACAGTTAACAGAGGCGGGAAAGAGCCATCTCGCTTGCATCAACTACGAGCACTAATTTAAATGTCAGAGTGTCAAAACAACCCTCTCTCGGCGACCCGCGCATCTTTAAGCAAAACGCAACCCTGGGTGGTAGGATTAGCCAAGCTAAGAAAACATGTGTTGGTACGTAACGGTATCTGTGAAAAAGTCTCACAGCAGTTGCATGTTTGGGTTTACTGCAGTTAGCATATGCATGACCGTTGCGAAGCATCTGAAGCATTGTTGGAATGATAGCAGACTTTCGTACGAAAATGTTTTATTTGAATTTTTCGTCATGGCATATAGCAGTAAATTTTCAGCAGTGAGTCATGTCTATGTTTATTTAGGTCGAGGTATGCTGCATGTTTGAATGCATAGGGACTTTGATAACTATATTAATGGATATGTAGTTGGTTAGTGTGTGTGTGTGTGTGTGTATGTGCGTGCGGGTGGGGTGTGTGTGTGTATGTGTGTGTGTGTGTGTGTGAGTGTGAGCGTGCATGCATACATCATGATCAAAAGTTTAAGACTACCTTGTTAATTTGGGTTTGTCATTATATATTTTGGATTTTACACCCACAGCTAATTTAGGATGTCATCATTTATTATTCGCGGCGTCCGTGGCTAAGGCGTTGCGAGTCTGACTTGTAATCCAAAGTACCGCGATCGAAACTTGCGTGGGCTGCGTGGATTTTTATCGTGGTATGAGACGTCGCAGGTCGGCCCAGCCTCAAATGGGTACCAGGATGGGCTGTCCTGGGAAAGTAAAGACGGCCGGCGTAATGCTGACCACATTACCCACCGAGTGCCGATTGGTCTGTAAAAATATGGGTGCTCTTCCCATATGCCCGATGCGCCTAAGGGCGTGTAAAGGGATCTTTACTTTTTTTTTAACTTTTTCATTTATTATTCAGCCAAGATTTGACAAATTATGTAATACTCCATTAAATTACTGAAATATCAATTGTTAACTTATATGGTCTTAAACTTTTGACCACCACTTTATATGCATATGTGCATACAAACATGCGTCAATACATATATGCATATATGGTATAAATAGGTATACGATCAGTCTGTCAAGTTCTTTCTGTCTGTATATTTGTAAATGGGTCTATATAGCAGTGACTTTCAACCTTCATAATACAGTTCCTCATGTTGTTGCGACACCCAACCATACAATTATTTTTGTTGCTTCTTCATACTTTAGTAAATGTGTTTTCCGACGGTCTTTGGCGACACTCGTGAAAGGGTCTTTTCTACCCACAAAAGTGTCGTTCGACCCACAAAAGGGTCGTTCGACCCACAAAAGGGTCGTTCGACCCACAAAAGGGTCGTTCGACCCACAAAAGGGTCGTGACCCACAAGTTGAGAACCGCTGATCTATAGAGACAGTGACTTGGTTACTGTAAATAAGGAAAACATATAAACTAGAATGTTGAGCTCTTTCAGTCCCACACTGAGTTACCCACCCAGAAGGAGACAATTTACATTTCCCGCCACATCATGAACAGGGGGAAAACTCACGACCGGGAACATTTGGAAAGGAGAAAAAGCAAAGAGAAACAGGGACAGAGGTTGCAGCACAATTGAACGTTTCAAAAATGAATTAGTTGTGATTGAAAAACTAATACACAGAGACTCTTGGGAAGTTAAAATACTTTGACTGAAGAAAAGGAGTTGCTATGGTTTGTTTTCCATATAGCACATATGGTATGTTCATATATAACACAAATGATATGTTAACATATAGCACATGTTAACATACAACGTGTATACGTAAAGCACACAGCTCGCTCTAATTTATATCAAATACTGCGTGAACACATATAGAATACGGGGCATGTCAGCACATAGGACATATGATGAGACCGCATACAGCACATATGGTGACTCCACATAGGGCGTATTCATATGTGTCACATATGGTCGGATCAACATACAGCCCAAATTGTGGGCCCACGTGAAGCACATATGGTGAATAAACATAAAGCGTGTTCACATATGTCAGATCCACATACATCACATATGGCGTATCCACATAAAACACATATAGTAAGACTACACACAGCAAATATGGTGAGACCAAACACAGCTCGTATTGTAAGACCACATAAGGCAGATATGGTGAGACCACAGAAAGCACATATAGTAGGATCATAGACAGTACATATGGTGAGACAACGTAAAGCACATATGGTCAGACCGCACATACCACATATGGTGAGATAACGTAAAGCACATATGGTCAGACCGCACATAGCACATATGGTGAGACCACGTAAAGCACATATGGTCATACCGCACATAGCACATATGGTGAGACCACGTAAAGCACATATGATCAGACCGCACATAGCACATATGTTGAGATAAGCACATATAGTGAGACTACTTAAAGCACATATGGTGAGACCACGTAAAGCACATATGATGAGGCCACGTTAAGCACACATGGTGAGACAACAACAACAAATATATGATGAGACCGCACAAAACACATATGGTGAGACCAGGTAAAGCACATATGGTGAAACAACACACATACAAGAAAAGAAAACAACATATGGTGAGACCACGTAAATACATATGGTGAGGCAACAAAAATATATGATGAGACCGCACAAAGCACATATTGTGAGACCATATAAAGCACACACAAAGCACATATGTTGGGTCCACGCAAACTAAATATTTTGGGTCCATATGAACCACATATGAAGAGTCCATAAAAAAGAAAGTCATAGCTACCAGACAGCTCAGGTGTGTGGCAGAAACAAGTCCTCCCAGACTCCTCCTCCACCTCCTTCTTATTTTCTCCCCCCCTCTCTTTCCCTATCTCTTTCTCGCGCAAATGACTGACAAATAAATCACGAAGCGTGTGCTACAGACATCGACATTCTGTCAGTGATTCTCTCATGTACAGGGTTAAATGCCACATGATATATTTATGTACACACACATACGCACAAATGAAAAAAAAAAAAGGTAATATGACTAAAAACAAACAAATAAACATACAAAACAAACCACCGAAAAGCATAGGAAAAGTATCAGTGTACAAACTGATGCATACTGCAGGATATCGCACGACATAAAGACGTTTACGCGCCCACGTAATCGACAAGGAAGTTTATATAACGCTGGTCTGGACAGAACGGTGATGGACGAACCAGTTTCCGGCCAACGAGGCGAAGGCGGACCTCCACAAAAGTGTATACATTACACTGAAGATGCTCTGGCTATGAAAGAATATAGAGCCGGGGAATCGACTGGTGCGAGTGAGAAAGAGAGAGAGAGAGAGAGAGAGAGAGAGAGAGAGAGAGAGAGAGAGAGAGACAGAGAGACAGAGAGACAGAGACAGAGAGAGAGACAGAGAGAGAGACAGAGACAGAGAGAGACAGAGAGAGAAAGAAGAGAGAGAGAGAGAGAGAGAGAGAAAGAGAGAGAGAGTGAAAGAGAGAGAAAGAGGAAAGAAAGAGAGACAGACAGAGAGAGACAGGGAGAGACAGAAAGAGAAAGAGAAAGAGAGAGAGAGAAAAAGAGAGAGAGAGAGCGAGAGAGAGAGAAAGAAAGAGAGAGAGAGAAAGAAAGAGAGAGAGAGAGAGAAAGAGAGAGAGAAAGAGAGAGAGAGAGAGAGAAAGAGAGACAAAAAGAGAGAGACAGAGAGAGACAGAGAGAGAAAGAGAGAGAAAGAGAGAGAGACAGAGAGAGACAGAGAGAGAGAGAAAGAGAGAGAAAGAGAGAGACAGAGAGAGAGACAGAGAGAGAGACAGAGAGAGACAGAAAGAGAAAGAGAGAGAGAGACTTTCAGTGATGCCGTGAGAAGAGCAACAGTCGGTAAAAGACGAGCTGATGCGTGTGTGAGTGTGTGAGAATGAATGAATGAATGAGTGTGTGAGAATGAATGAATGAATGAGTGTGTGAGTGAATGAATGAATGAGTGAGTGAGTGAGTGAGTGAGTGAGTGAGTGAGTGAGTGAGTGAGTGAGTGAGTGAGGGAGGGGAGGGAGGGAGGGAGGGAGGGAGGGAGGGAGGGAGGGAGAGAGGGAGGGAGGGAGGGAGAGAGGGAGGGAGGGAGGGAGGGAGGGTGGGTGGGTGGGTGGGTGGGTGGGTGGGTGGGTGGGTGGGTGGGTGGGTGTGTGTGTGTGTGTGTGTGTGTGTGTGTGTGTGTGTGTGTGTGTATGTATGTAATGGGCCTTTCCCAATGCTGCCACCTGCACACACATACAGACCCACGCACACACAAATACGTCGGAGGCCCATGTAGCTGGTCACACAAACAGATACCGTCTATGGTCAGTGAGAGCCTGCACGTACAGAAGTGCGTACCGTTGAGCACATCCAGCCGGGTGGAGGCGATCTGCAGGTCAGATGTCCGGCACACATAGATCCCGGCGTCGTCCATGTCGGCCTCCTCCACCTCTAGGATGCTGGAAATGGTCTTCTCCATCAGGGACACTTGCATCTGGATGGACACCTGCGTGACGGCGAGACTGGCGTTAGAAACACTTTGTTTACAAGCAAGTTAGTTACCTGAAAATCTGACGGGAGGTGTATGATAGTTGCTGCTTTGTTGTAGAAGTAGTAATGGTAGTAGGAAGTGGCATGTGTCGTTGCAGTAGCAGTAGTTTTAGTAGTAGTAGTAGTAGCAGCAGCAGCAGCAGCAGAAACAGCAGTAGCTGGAAGCAGCAATAGTGGAAGTAGTATAAGTAGTAATTGTAGTAGTAGTAATGGTAGAAGTAATATTAGTAGTAGTAATATTAGTAGTAATGGTAGTATTAGTAGCAGCAACAGCATCAGAAGCAGCAGCAGCCGGAAGCAGTAATAGTTGTACCAGTATAAGTAGTAGTAGTAGCAGCAGAAGCAGAAGCAGTCGTAGTAGCTGTAGTAGTAGTAAAAATAATAAGAGTACGAAGTGGTACTACTTGTAGTGTTAGTGGCAGTAGTAATAAACACTAATAACAGTAGCACCAGAAAATGTGTAAACAAAAGGATCGGGGTCCCATCTGTCATATTATAAAAGAAGTTCCCTTGTCGAGTATGTGCTTTTATATACTTAATACAAACGTACTATATATTTTATATTATTTCACAGATAGTCTTACTTTTTGTTTTCGCTGTTCAAAACTTATTATTATTAATAATATTGTTCTGAATATTATTACGCACTTAAACAATAATCAAGCCCCCGGAGCCTAGATTATTTATAAAGAGCCTGATTCAGGTCGCTCCCCCACCCCCCCCCCCACATGATCCTTCCCTGTTTCTTTTTTGTGTATCTGAATTTCTGAAAGTAGTAGTAGTAGTAGTAGTAGTAGTAGTAGCAGCAGCAGCAGCGGTAGTAGCAGTAGTGGTGGTAATAGTAGTAGCAGCATGGTAGCAGTAGCAGTAGCAGCAGCAATAGTAGCAGAAGTGGTAGTAGTAGTTAGTAGTAGTAGTAGTCGTAGTGGGTAGTAGTAGTAGTAGTAGTAGTAGTAGTAGTAGTAGTAGTAGTAGTAGTATCTAGTGGTGGTAGTAGTAGCAGCAGCAGCAGCGGTAGTAGCAGTAGTGGTGGTAATAGTAGTAGCAGCATGGTAGCAGTAGCAGTAGCAGCAGCAATAGTAGCAGAAGTGGTAGTAGTAGTGGTAGTAGTAGTCGTAGTGGTAGTAGTAGTAGTAGTAGTAGTAGTAGTAGTAGTAGTAGTAGTAGTAGTAGTAGTAGTAGTAGTGGTGGTAGTAGTAGCAGCAGCAGCAGCGGTAGTAGCAGTAGTGGTGGTAATAGTAGTAGCAGCATGGTAGCAGTAGCAGCAGCAGTAGCAGCAGCAATAGTAGCAGAAGTGGTAGTAGTAGTCGTAGTGGTAGTAGTAGTAGTAGTAGTGGTGGTAGTAGTAGTAGTGGTAGTAGTAGTAGTAGTAGTGGTAGTAGTAGTAGTAGTAGTGGTAGTAGTAGTAGTAGTGGTGGTAGTAGTAGTAGTGGTAGTAGTAGTAGTAGTAGTGGTAGTAGTGGTAGTAGTAGTAGTAGTAGTAGTAGTAGTAGTAGTAGTAGTAGTAGTAGTAGTAGTGGTAGTGGTAGTAGTAGTAGTAGTGGTAGTAGTAGTAGTGGTGGTAGTAGTAGTAGTGGTAGTAGTAGTAGTAGTGGTAGTAGTAGTAGTAGTAGTAGTAGTAGTAGTAGTAGTAGTAGTAGTAGTAGTAGTAGTAGTAGTAGTAGTAGTGGTAGTAGTGGTAGTAGTGGTAGTAGTGGTAGTAGTAGTAGTGGTAGTAGTAGTAGTAGTAGTAGTAGTAGTAGTAGTAGTAGTAGTAGTAGTAGTGGTAGTAGTAGTAGTAGTAGTAGTAGTAGTAGTAGTAGTGGTAGTAGTAGCAGCAGCAGCAGCAGCGGTAGTAGCAGTAGTGGTGGTAATAGTAGTAGCAGCATGGTAGCAGTAGCAGCAGCAATAGTAGCAGAAGTGGTAGTAGTAGTGTTAGTAGTAATAGTCCCCGATCTTAAAATGATCAGTGTGTTTATCACTTTTAATGTGTAGATGGGGGTCTTTGAGCCTGAGGATTTGGGGCCGCGTGGCTAGTGCTGCCACCATGGACTGTGCAGGTCAGGGTTTTATTGTTGCCCCTGACCAAAACAAAAAAACAAAAAAACAAACAACATGCACAATCTTACCGACAATCTCAACCATGGCTACCCGCATGAGAGCCTGGCGTTCTTATTCTGATCTTAGTAGTAACAACAGTGGTAACGTCGGACTGCATCTGCCTGAGGCAAGAAACCAATAGTCTGCACACAAATAGGCCAGATTTGTTAAACGGATGCGCACGCAAAACTTAAGCTCTGGATCAAGAACAGAGTTCAGGAGTGGTGGACGAACATCCAGAAACTTTCCGCCGGAGTCTAGAGCCGGTAAATGCTAGGAGGAACAAGAAAATAGTGATAGTACTGATGGTTGTAGTGGTCACTCTTTGCTGACTAACAGGCCTTGATAGCAGATACACTCTCATGAAAATGCAACAGTATCTCATATCCATGAATAAAGAATGTAATAAAACAACAATATAGCTTCACTTCAAGTAAAGTATGCCATACAAATACACTCACATTAATTGCTCAAAGATAAAAACCGCTAGCTTACCTTTTTCTCAACATCAGTGGCCAACTTCTGACCATTAAGGAACCAATCTAGACTGTCCGGGGAATGTCCTGCTCCTGTGGCATTACAGATTAAACGAATCTTCTGGTTCTTCTCCACGTAAGTCGTCCCTGTAATGTTGATCTCCTTCCCTGGCGCTGGCGTGGACTCACTGTCTGCAGACGACATCATTTTGTTATGTAACACAACCCCAGTGTAAGAACAGAACAGGCTAGAGGGAAAGGCTGCGAGTCTTTTGCGATGTACAAACAGCATAAAATATAACGATAGGCCACGACCGGCTCCAGCTTGACGACCCGTACGGCTGACGTCACGAGGTCGGGCTCATGATGCACTAACGCAGCGGTTCTCAAACTGGGAGCCCAAGGACCCTGGTGTGCCGTGAGCGTATGCTAAGTGTGCCGCGGCAATAATCAGGAAAAGTTGGCTAAAAATTGTGAAATTATTAAAGAAGGTATGTAGATACTTACAAGTTAAAATTGAAGTTGTCTTCCCTCGCCACTTGTTTAAGAAACGCTGCGTTAACGCATCGTTAGCCCAACCCGGTGACTGTCATATGATGTTAAACCAGGCAGCCAGTTTTCTGTCGCAATACACCTTCATATCCTGGAGACAATCTCTAAAGTACCCTTAAAGCGCTTTATTCTACTCTACACTGAGTATACCAGTCTTTTTTTTCTCAACATACTCCGTGAGTGAGTTATAATCAGGACGGCTGCAATGTGTGCCTTCAAACCTCAAACAAGATGTTTTAGTGTCATATGCTAGACTCCGTTGCACTTAACCTATCTGTATAGAAATGTTGCATTAAACCATCTGTATAGATATGTTGCACTAAACCATTTGTATAGATATGTTGCACTAAACCATTTGTATAGATATGTAGCACTAAACCATCTGTATAGATATGTTGCACTAAACCATCTGTATAGATATGTTGCACTAAACCATCTGTATAGATATGTTGCACTAAACCATCTGTATAGATATGTTGCACTAAACCATCTGTATAGATATGTTGCACTAAATATGTAGCCTAAACCATCTGTATAGATATGTAGCACTAAACCATCTGTATAGATATGTAGCACTAAACCATCTGTATAGATATGTAGCACTAAACCATCTGTATAGATATGTTGCACTAAACCATCTGTATAGATATGTTGCACTAAACCATCTGTATAGATATGTTGCACTAAACCATCTGTATAGATATAGACTAAACCATATGTTGTTGCACTAAACCATCTGTATAGATATGTATAGCACTAAACCATCTGTATAGATATGTAGCACTAAACCATCTGTATAGATATGTTGCACTAAACCATCTGTATAGATATGTTGCACTAAACCATCTGTATAGATATGTTGCACTAAACCATCCTGTATAGCACTAAACCATTTGTATAGATATGTTGCACTAAACCATCTGTATAGATATGTTGCACTAAACCATCTGTATAGATATGTTGCACTAAACCATCTGTATAGATATGTTGTACTAAACCATCTGTATAGATATGTTGTACTAAACCATCTGTATAGATATGTTGCACTAAACCATTTGTATAGATATGTTGTACTAAACCATCTGTATAGATATGTTGCACTAAACCATCTGTATAGATATGTTGCACTAAACCATCTGTATAGATATGTTGCACTAAACCATTTGTATAGATATGTTGTACTAAACCATCTGTATAGATATGTTGCACTAAACCATCTGTATAGATATGTTGCACTAAACCATTTGTATAGAAATCACATCTCCTTGGCGGTAACTGTTATGAATTATGTGTTGAACTTCTCATTCTGCATTGCTCTTTGGCCAGTCTCTGCCTTTACTGTCCAGTGTGATTAGAAAACTACCCACAGTCTACTATTTCAGCCAAAAGAGACAATCACTGAAGGAACAAGTGGGATCCAAAAGTCGACCAGCCAAGTAGCCAACAATAGGCTCTTCATAAAAAAAAAAAAAGAAAAAAAAAAAAAAAAGAAATAAGGGATTAACCAGTGTGCAGACTTCAAGATAGTTTCTAGACAACAGTTAGTTATAAAGGAAGAAGATGCCTATATAAACAAGATGCCGATACATCGGGAACATCCACATTACAAGCGGTAAACAGTCACATAATCCATAAACAGGCATTCAAATGGGAAACAGATGGTGTCCAAATGAAACCTTAAGACGAAAGCTGATAAAAAAGGCCAAATATTTTTGTCCGGATTCCTTCCCTGATCAATCGCACAGGATAGAATGAAATAGAAAAATTGACTTCGAGACCCATGTGACTTATAACGACACAACAGAACGATAATAATAATGATGATGATGATAAAAAATTTCCAACATAGACTCATCATGTGTCCTGCCGACTAGCATACGCTTTCATGCATCTCCACAGATTTTGGTCCATGTCCTCAATTCCACCAATGATTTCCCTCTATGCCACAGTCGCAGTTTATCCGTCATCATCTCTCTCGATCTGCCTCCCCCTCTTCTACAGTTGATCTTCCCAGTTGTCACTGCTAGTCGTCATAGTATTCTCTAAAGCCTCCTCCCCCTCCCCATCACATGACGAAAGAACAGTGCTTGACTTTTCCTTAGAGCTATATATATTGATCTGCTTTATTAGCCTCCTTCCTCGTTAGTTTCTCTGCTAGTCCAAGGGAGTCTTAATATACGCCTGAAAACCCCCATCTCTGTGGCCTCCAAGTTCTTTCTAATTTGTGCATTCACATTCCACGATTCACTACCATATGTGTATCCACAAACATGCACTTTCAAAATTATTAACGATTGCCTGGAAGATGGTAACAAATGTAGATCATTATAGGCAGCTCAGAAATAGATAATGTTAATAATGTAGTCATATAATACGAACCTCATTCAACCACAGTGAAAAGGCGAAAAAGTGCAATGGTATGGACAGGTAATAAGATCCCTCAAAAAGAATACTGCAGGGCTTAGTAGAGGGAAAGATGGGAAGAGGCAGACCATGAAACACCTGGTTACAGAACCTGACTGACTGGAAAGGCCTTAGGCATGCAACCATGAAGTCCATCGCAACTGACCGCCAAAGGTGGAGAGAGCTGATCACACAGTCAACAAAAACTGGTGACCTAACGACATCAGAGTTACTTAATGATGATGATGATTCTACTGTGAAGATAGACACTCCAGAATATAATGACGACTGGACAGATCAACAGTTAAAGAGGCAGTCCCGAGGAAATGAGACTGGTTTATCTATTATGTCAGCACGGAAGAACGTCATCAACACAGCAGATCTTTTACACCAAAGACCAATATCTGAGAAAATACCAAAATGCTAACATATGATAATGATGATGCTGACACTTCAAACTGCTCACAATACCAAATAAAAAACATTAAATGCAAAATGTGCAAGCTTTTAACGAGAATTATAAAAATAACAGAAATACTTAAGAAACAGCAACCAATACAAATGAACCCAACATATAGATTATATTAAAGATTAAGTGCAATCACAACATCATGGTCATTGATAAAACCCTGACTTTTGTTAATTTTCAGCCGTCTAAGTATAGCCACCAGTGTTTTGTTCATATTGAACAATGATAAGTAATACTTCACACATCACAAAAACAGGACCATTGTACACCGTCTGGCAAAACCAACATTCAAGCAACAGTTGTCAAATCACACAAGACAGAAATCAAAACAAAAGAACTAAGGCTTTTTAAATATAAATAATAACAGCAACACCGAACTTCAAAGAACCAGATGGCCACCAAAGATTAGAAAAACCACCATAGTGCTAAAGTTTTAATGACAAGCTGTGAGAAGATAGTTACAAGTTTTTCTTGTTCTTCTTCCTATGGTTCATGTCGTGTGACTTTGGCAGTCATGTCTATCCACAGACTTATATCTCTTGTACTTTCAGTCAGTTCTGACACAGATGATCTTTTACTACATGATATAAACTGTCCAGAACTTCTCCGTCTGCCTCTTGTTCCCTCCAACTTTCCCACCGTCATAATGTAATGCAAGTTTTCTCTTCATGACATGACCAAACAGTGAAGATTGTTTTCTTGTGATGTGTTCTCTCACTGAGTCAATTAATTTCAAATCTTCTCTATTAGTAGTAGTTTACAAGGTAGAAATCAATTACGAATATGGGAAACAAATAATCTCTAGAATGTTTCTGTAAGGGCTATAAACTAGAATACATTGAGAGAAAATTCACTGAATGTCGAAATATCGTTTTGACAGGACAGAAGATTGTTCGAAGTTAAGAGAATATCTTTCCCAGGAAAACGAAATGGTTGCAAGAGGACAGCATCTTTGACAGAGCGCAATTGATCTACCGTGATAGTATTGCGATACATCTCTCTGCTAAAGCACAAGGTTCGTGGGTGGGAAAATAGCATCTCTTTCATAGAACAACAGATCTTAATGAGGAGATATCATCACCCTGACGGCAGTTATTCATACTAGAGAAAAGCATCTCTTTTATAGAACAACAGATCTTAATGAGGAGACATCATCACCCTGACGGCAGTTATTCGTACTAGAGAAAAGCATCTCTTTTATAGAACAACAGATCTTAACGAGGAGACATCATCACCCTGACGGCAGTTATTCGTACTAGAGAAAAGCATCTCTTTCATAGAACAACAGATCTTAATGAGGAGACATCATCACCCAGACGGCAGTTATTCATACTAGAGAAAAGCATCTCTTTTATAGAACAACAGATCTTAATGAGAAGACATCATCACCCTGACAGCAGTTATTAATACTAGAGAAATTATCTATTTCATAAAAAAACAAGATTTCCCCCAAAAGGCCAGAAAGACAAATACGGAAATGAGCAGTCCTTATCGATATAGAAGAAAATGTTAAACTTTGAGACGCAGACAGTCAATGGTTTTTATACACGTTGTGAGAAGGAATTGATTCGAGAACTTGGTAACCACTGGCACAATTGATAGAAAGAGAGCAAGAGCGAGGCAAAGAGATCATATATGTATTGCTTATCCAAATGGATGAGGCGAGTCAAAAACATTGAACTGATCCGTCATTCCGGTGATCGTTTGAGATAACGAAACATGACAGCCTATGATCA